AAAAAAACACAAACAAACCAACTCATATACAGTCCAGATAACAAAAATATATAATCCAAACATAGTCCAACAAATCAAAGTAAACAATAAAAAAAAATAGTCCCACATAAAAAAGATACACACTAACAAATCTAGTTTCCCCACTCATCACGGCGTCTAGATCTATCAGTGCGAGGATGTGAGGACGGACAGTCATCCACAAAATGCTCTGTATCACCACATCTACTACACTGTCCTCTATCATTCCGACGGCGTACCCGACGATCCATTTACATGCGATGACGCCTCGTTTGCGCGCGATCGGGTCCAGCCTTCGTGATCATCATCTCCCAATGTGGTAGTAAGGTCCATCCGACCAGCGGCCATGTGTCTGGATCACCAATCGGAACAAAACTCCAATTAGAAAATTGAGCTACCCAGTTCTCCGTCCAAAAGCAGGGATCGTACAATAACTTCGGTGGAGTATTAAGTTGTCGACACACAGCTATAGCATGAGAGCATGGTTTCCTATGTGTCTGCCACTTCAGACAACGACAACGCCTCTCATCGAACCAAACCTTACACCTATTTTTCCACACATTGAATTATATTTATAAACAACTAAAAATTTTAATGAACAAAAATAAAAAAATAAAAATTATACAATAAATAAATAAACCACATACGTTTTGTCCCCTCTACTATTCGCCCGTAGACCCGTTATCACCTCGTACAGAGATCTCGCCGCGTTCGCACATCTCACCTTATGATTTGCGGCCGTACTCTCCAATTCGCAAAAAGCGGCATAGTGGGCACTAGCAATGACATTACTGCATCTCGTGGACTTCTTCTGTTCCTGCTCAAACAAGTCCAGAGTTTTCATGAATGTGGCGCGTACCAAAGCTCGGCAGGGCAAGAACCTAACACCTTTCAGGACGGTGTTGTAACTCTCGGACATATTGGTCGTCAATGTGCCCCATCTACGTCCTCCCTCGTCTCCAAGAAGGGTCCACTTGTTCAGAGAAATTTCGAACAGGTAATTGTATGCATCCGGATTAAAATCCGAAAGCCGCTCTCGTATCTGTTGAAATTTTCGCTCTGAAAGCTGTGAACCCAACTCCCAACACCAATTTCAGATTTTGCTATTCCTGTACCTAGTAACCACGTTGCTCCGAAGGTGTCGAAGACAAATCCGGTGATATGCAGCGGGTTCTTGCCAAGCCGCCAATGAATCCACAGCACTCTGTAAGCCAGCATCCCTGTCCGAAAGAAAGCATATTTGTCTGTCGCCGACAACATGTTGCCGGAGATTTGTCAGGAAAAATGACCAGCTTTCCGTGCTCTCTTCATCCATAATCACATACGCGATTGGCAATAACCGCTTATTCGCAGTCTGTGCAACGGCCACAAGCAACTTCTCCTTGTACGAGCCACACAAATGCGTGCCGTCCATGCTAATTACCGGCGGGCATCTCTGGAAGGTCTGAATGGCGGGACCAAAAGCCCAGAAAACAAATTTGAATTCTCTGTGCTCATAGTGGGCCGCCATTTCCCCACCCTGTCATTCCCACTGTACAACTGTAGTAGGATTCGCTCTTTGAAGCGCCGCAACAAATCTGCACATTACAAAACGTAATCGTTAATACATAAACATAGTGAGATAAATAACACGTACACTTTTAATAAATTTTTTCTTACTGAGGGAGTTGTGCGAAGTTCTCTTTCCAAGTGCCATACAAACGGTCAATGGCTTTTTTCCTCCCGTGCCACGCCTTCTTATAGATCACATCGACTTTCCAACATTTTTTGACATCCTCCTGGATTAGGGTAACACTGTACTCGGGTTTCTTTTGGATCTTGGTCATGATAAGATTGGAAATCATTGTGGCAGTTACATTTCTGTGGTCATTTTTGTCGACTTCTTGCATACAACTATGCCTCTCGGTCCATTCCGTTACTTCCCACAGTTCATGAACCCGTGTACAGTGCGTCACCCGAGCCTTCCACGGACAAGGTTGAGCTTCGGCGAATTTGCACACCACCTTGAATGATTTCTTATTCGAATATTTTGTCCTAACCTCCCTCAATCTACTAACGTTCCAATTCATTATATCAATCTGTGCTTCTTCCTTGGACCGGAAAACAGTACCCAAACGGATAGTCTCGACATTTCCATTCCAACGAGGGAGAGCATACTCATCCCGGTCTACACACGAGGAGTCCCACTCACCCATCTCGCGATACACGTGCTGACCGATACTAGGAAATGGGTGCTCTTCAATAAAATCTGGTTCACTCTCCTCGTTTATTGATCTATCTGATTCCGTTTCCGATGTATCATCTGTGAAATCGTCTTCATCTGGAATGAAATCATCATCGGGTTCTTCTCTAACTGTCGAGCTTGTCCCTTCGCCAAAATTACGAACATGCGAAGTGGACGTACCCTCAAAATCAGGCACTCCCCCGTAAAAATGGGGAACATCCTCAAACTGTGTAATCACTGTAGGTGCCTGCGTAACCTGCTTCAACTCTAAATGCAAATACACATAGGAGAAAGCAGAAAAATAATATATCCACTGTAAAGCACTATCAATATTCAAGTTTCCAATGTTCCACGAACCATCGGGTCGGTTAGTCAGTAAACTAATCCCCTCAATTATCCAACCATCTCGACGAAACCCAAAATTTTCATAAAGTATATCTTTAAGTTGTTGAAATGATATCTTCTCCCCAATGCTAAATGAACCATCCAGACGGTTTATAAAATCTGAAAATGAATCTAAAACCTCTTTGGGATGATTCCAATACACGTTAACAAAATATGGTCTGGTAGACTCCATTTATACCTGTTAAAAATAAAATCACGAATTCTCTTAACAAACCCTAATACTCATAATCCATCAATAACATATAATACACTTTCAACCAAAAAAAAAAAAACAAAAAAAAAAAATATTTCCGATCAATTAATCATTCAAAACCCTAATACCTTATCGAATAATAACATAGAAATCATCTATAATTCCGATAAATTGAAACCCTAATTTCGAAAAACCCTAACCCCAACAACAACCAAACAATTGCACAATTGACAATTTACACATAATATTTCAATCTCCAATTCAACATACACACATAATCGTTAATCAAATAGGAATTTCAATCTTCAAACACCAACACATTCAAACATATTATAACAATTCTCAATCTCCAAATAACTCCAAACAAATATAAAAAGTTAATATAAGCCAATATACCTCGTGCGAATTAATTAACCGGAAATAAGGCTCGTATCGCTGTTGTCGGTTCACGTTGGGGTGAAGATTGGATCGAGTTTTTTTTTTTTTCTCAAGTATTTTCGCTCTTTCTATTCTGTTGGGCTCCCTCTCTGTTGCTCTATGCTGCTCGCGTAAAATGAATGGAGAAGAAGATTTTTTTTAATGTATTACTTTAAAACGTATTTAAGGAATACGTTTTAAGAAATACGTTTTTTGTGCATTTAATTATAAAACGTATTCATTAAATACGTTTTATTTAAATGTATTTTTTAAAAAAAATTAATTTTTTTTAAGACGTATTACTCGAATACGTTTTCCTAAAACGTATTATTCAAATACGTTTTTTATTTCTTTTTTTATTTAACGAAAACAATTTTGAAAATTATTTTGATTTTTTTTAATTAAAACAGTTAAATAAAACCGTATCCAAAAAATACGTTTTATTAAATAATTTTTTTTTAGTAAAACGTATTCAAGGAATACAAGTTTTTTATGTTTGTCCACTCACTTTTTTTTTTGTCAACTTAATTTCTATATTTTATTTTATTTTTAAATAAATCACTCGAAGAATTGAGAAGTAACATTTAGCTCGGAAAATTTCTGTACAGGAGGGAGAACTCGAGCACTGCTGACTGACTCGGCCACCGAAATCGAAACCCTCGTCTCCGTCACTATCACACTCACAGAAAATATTTGGTTGAAGGGAGAAAATTATGTGCGAAGAATAGTCTGCTGTTTTTTCTAGGTTCACATCAATGGTTAATGTGAGTAGCATGCCATTTTTATTCATGGGTGCATGAATGGATCCTGAGTCTATGCTCGGACGTAGTAACATTGTGAAGGGATAGGTACTTCGATGCTTGATTGTGAACAATTTGTGGTGGAATTGTAGATTTCTGAGTTTCTAATCTCATTTGTCAATTGTTATGCTCATTTAAACAGATATGGAGTATTATTGCATTTTCTGTCTATTTCTCATCTTTTTAATTCCTTGTCTGATGAATTTTTTTATATAATAATTGCATTTATTTGTGTAAAGTCATAGTTTTTGTTGATTGATGATTCCTTTTGCTGTTAATGGTAGGGATATCTTTATTGTTTCATGCCGGAGACGACAGTTGGTGGGACATTTTCTCTTATGGTAGCTGATGATTGTATATTACTTTCAAGAACTAGGGTGGCATTCAACTGAGTGGGATTGGGTCCGACTTTCCAAAACATGGCGCAACAGTCATCGCGGCTTAATCGATTGCTAACGCTGTTGGACAGTATCCTTTATAGAGTTGCTCTTTTGGGACCTCAGTGATTGGGTACGGTGTTGCTGTGTAAATTAATAAGTTTGCATTGTGTTTTGGGATCAGTATGAGTGATGCTAGTATGAACTCAAGAGTTTTATAGCAGAGAGATTACTGCCTTTGTCTTTAAATATTTGTTGTTGGCTGTGCTATGCAAATGGTGTGTAAACATATTTTTGTATATTTCGTTCTTGGATTCTCATTTTCTGGTATTCTTCTTAATTGCATCATATCAAAAAACCATTCTTTCCTTAACAAATGCTAAGCGGGTTCAACTCAGGCAACAAGGTTTTCAGCAGCAAGGCAGATAGGAGAGATTGCCAAATCTCATCCTCAGGACCTCAATGCTCTTTTGAACAAGGTAAATAAGATCGTCTTTTTATTTTCTAATGTGAACTGGTTGGGTTGGTCTCTGCAAATGAGGGGGTTTTAGTCCAAATTATTATCTCAAGGAGCCAAAGTTTGTCCATTTCTTTATTTCATTTGTTTTCTCCTGTTAACATTAGTTTTGGTGAATTTAGATGGAGGCAATTTCTTTACATTTTCTTTTGATTACCCAATCATCCATGAAATATTGATTGATGGTACATGAATGAAAACAAAGTTGACTATCACCTTTATTTAATTACATTATGAATGAAAATAAAGTTGAATGTCATTTTTTTATCTTTCAATATTTGTCCTTTGTGTCCTGTGAGAAAGCTTGGAGGTTTAGAGAGATAATGTTTACATGTGACAGTTTTGAATATTTGATTTTACTTTATAAGACAGTAGACAAAGGTCGAAACTAAGGGGTCATGGTGATCTACGTGTTTGATATCCATGGAAGTGCAAGTGATGCAGCATAGTATTGTCATACTATTGCTATTTTGGTTCATCTTATGACTACTAGTTATATAGAGGAAAAGTGTGGATGCCAGAGATGCAAGTACTTTCTGGTAAAATCGATATCAGGAATTTTATTAATCTCCAGAAGCACCAGTGTTTATTTTTTGTTCATTGGCCTAAAAATTGATTTTAACAAAATTAATACTTTTCGATTTGTTTTTCTCTCTTTTCAATGTGAGCTTGACCCTCATTAATTATTACTATAGGTGTCCCAGTATTTACGGAGTAAAAAGTGGGAGACCAGAGTAGCTGCTGCTCATGCCGTGGGAGCTATTGCACAGAATGTCAAACATATATCTTTGACAGAACTCTCTAGCTCAGTTGAGTCCAAGATTTCAGAAGCTGGGATATCTGCTACATTTGAAGATGTCGTGACATGGCCAAACTTCCATTCTAAACTTGGAGGAAGCATTTCTTTTCGAAGGTATTTCTATCTCTCAGTATCTGTGTTTTATTATTTCGTTTGACAGTCTTTAAACTGCCTGCGTAAAATTTATCTACAAAATATGGTGCATAGTGATGTTATCTCATGTATGCATTTGGTTGCTCATAATTTACTTGGTGATAAAATTTGTATCTTACAGTTTTGATCTAAACAAGGTGTTGGAGTTTGGGGCTTTGGTGGCATCTGGTGGACAGGTACTTTTTCTTTCATTCCCTCTTGTGGTGAAAAAGAGGATTCTGTTTTTGTTTATTTCTTACTTTTTCTGCAAACAACATTAGAGATTTTCCTCTTGTGTTTCTTGAACAACGCTAGTTGAAAGGTATTTTTTTTTTTATTATTTTTCTATTTTTTATATCATTAAAGATATACACCAGTTAAATTTTGAAGTTGTAGGGTTAGTGCTCCAAATATGGGGCATCCGTGAATAGTATGCTTTATGGCAAGATTACTGTGGACACTATTTAGAGAAACTTATAATCACGTTGCATCAGGTTAAATCTAAATATTTCTATGCCTTTTTGTGAGTTGGGAGTTGTATGATTTCACAACTCTGTTATGTGATGATCTCTCTCATGATGGCAACATAGAAGATTTGTATCCAGTTTATTTGTGGTTTCAGCCTTCTCTCTGTGAGGTTATGTGTTTATATGTTAATAGTAGTTGTTTTCCACTATATTTCAGGAATATGATATTGCGAATGATAACTACAAGAATGCTAAGGAACGTTTGGCTTGGCAGAAACAAAATCTTAGGCGTCGATTGGGTCAGTGGTACTTTGTTTATGGTATCTCTGTGTTTTTTT